CTGGTATAAGTAACTGCAAAGCTTTCTGTACAATTTTAGTTTGATGAAAATTTCTAAAGAATTTTCCTTTCAAAAAAAAGTTTATAAAAATATTAACCATCATGAAATACCTTCTTGGTTAGCTCGTGCCACTGGGAGGACGCCACTATTCTTCTATTAATTCTTCCCTGAATTAATCAGTCATTGTACATTAGAACCAGCAGCTGGAGCGTTGTGAGTGATAATGAGACCTGTAACAAGGCATCTTCAGCCGTCTTTTCAAGACAATAAGGGAATTAAAATTTCAATTTAAATGCAGGGGTTTGAAACACGCTTCACTGGCAAAATTAGTTCAATTAATGTGAGTGGAATACAAAGGACATTGCAGAAATGTGATGCAGCAACCAGAGATTATGTCATTAGGTGCCGACACCAAGTCAGCACAGGCACGTATCACAAAGCCACAGGCTCCAGCATTCGTCAAGCCTGCGATTCCAACATGACGGTCACCGGCTTCTTATTGGATCACTCTGCGCTTTTCATAGCCCAACAGCAGCTGTTTACCTTGAAGACGGAAACAAAGGGCCAGGACCATTCACAGACATCCTCTGTCATGACAATTTAATTATTTCATGCAATAGTCGAATTATCCTATCAGGAGGAGAAATAAATACTCCACCTAGAAGCCGAGCCTATGGCTGCTCGACCTGAGTGACGGTGATGTAGACTAGCAGGAGCTGGCGAGAGCCAAGGGTCACCACTGATTGATCGACTATGGTCTCATTAACCCGCACTGATTGAATTACTGTGCGGCTGCATCTGGGCCTGCATCAAAACGAAAATGCAAGCTCTCTTGACAAATTCAAGGGAATCAGAGGGAGAGAGACTGCTTTGCCTTCACTTTCTTCTGATTCCTTTTACCAAAGATCTCTATTTGCACCACTGAGAAGTTAATTCAATTCTACCTCTAGTAACCTAATCACATGAAAAAGAAATGGTATCATTTTCATGGAAAGTCCAATGAAAGGGCAATTACAGACCTCATCTTTCACTCTTCCATACAAAAGAACTAGTTGAGGAATATTTCCAAACTTGCAGGCACACTTTAAACCCTACCTCCATGGAGAAGACAGAACAGACCAACTAACCATCTCAGCTACATCTTGGCAGTGAAATACGGGGCAAACAAAGACTCTATGATGGACTACGTCAATCAGTGGATTCTTCAAGGACCTCAGAGTGCTTGGAGTGGCAAGATTGGCAGCGATTCATAACTGTTGAAATATCAAAACCACTTGAGGAAGAACCTCAGAGCACACCCTACATCCGGGACCTGGGGAGGGTGGGAAATTGGGTGGGCCTTCTCCCTTAATACCCCTCTTTAAACATGAAGGAAATAATATGGAAAAAATAATAGTCTTACCCACTTTCCTGTAGCCCTTTAACCTTTTTACCCTAATTAACTATGTAAAGACTGTCAACATTAAAAAAAAAAAAAAAAAGAAAAGAAGGGGGAAAAAAATAAAGCCTACCTTCATGAAATCTTGGTATATGAGATATAAAAATCATTTCTTTACAGAAATGCTAACTCTCCAGACCTTGCAAAGCAACAACCTCCTGTGTAAAGCGGTGGTGATGTTATGCCCCCCTCTCTCATGGCCTTGCTGCAAGGATTAAATGAATTAACAAATATAACATACCGTATATAAGCATAAAGTAAGTGCTCAATGAAGTATTATCATTCTTCATGTAAATGTTACAAAAAGAAATGTTAAAAATTAGAGAAGCTTTCCATTAAAATAATCAAATAACAAATAAATAAGTGAATAAAAATTAGAAGAGAAACAAAATGAACCCAAACTTCTAGAAAAAAAAAACTTTCTCTGTGTAGACACTGAAGTTTTTCACAGTTACCCACTTAGCTAATTTGGAGTGTCTGCTGCTAAGCACCAAAGTAGGTGAGCAACAGCGCCTCTGACCTGAGAGATCCACAACACAAACAGGAAGGACATCAGGGTACTGCAGGAGACAGAGAAAAGCAGCTGGCTTTCCGGAACATTCACAGAATCTGAGCCAAACCTTAAAGAATAAGGCATAATTTACCAGACAGACAGGACTGGGTCATCAGCTCAGAGAAACCTATGGCCAATGAGAAAATGAAATGCTAACACATCTTTACACACCAGCAACAAATCACTAGAAACTGTAATAAGGAGCTGCAGCTTTAAAAAGCCACAACAAATGATAATACACAGAAATAAATCTAGCAAAATACAAGTCATACCTCTAAGGAACACGTTACTGAGAACAGCTAAAGCATCTAAACGAGCATTTGAACAAAGGACAGCCCATCCACAAGAAGAAAACATTGCAAAGGCGGAAATTTTCTCCACAACCCAAATCCCATCACAGTTCCTGTGTGACTTGACAGACTATACTAGAATTCTTGTGGAGAAATAAAAGGGTCAAGAAGAGCTGCAATGCAGAACAATACAATATTTAGTAGTAAGATAAGGGGATGTCATCACCTATCAAAATACATCACAACATAAATTAAAAAATTAGGAGAAGATATCTGAAATGCATCAAGCTAGCATGGAGAGCAAGCAACAAGGGGCTCCCCTAGTGTGCCAGAACCCAGCACCACCCAGCCTGGCACCCTCACTCCCCTCAGGCACTAGATGCACTCTGATGCAGACCCCAGGACACCGTGCGCAAACTCTACCCCAATCACGTTTTCAACTGTGGAATCACTCCCTCCACCTCAAAGGAATGACTCCACTTGGTGGGGGCAGCGCCATTTCTTCCTCCTGGAGGCAGGTCGCTGCCTGCACGTCTGAATGCCTGCTGGCCCCTCAGTAACTCCCACTGCCTGCACCTCTGAATGCCTGCTGGCCCCTCAGTAACTCCCACTGCCTGCACCTCTGAATGCCTGCTGGCCCCTCAGTAACTCCCACTGCCTGCACCTCTGAATGCCTGCTGGCCTCTCAGTAACTCCCACTGCCTGCACTCTATCTAACTCTGCTTTGCATTCTCCCTTCAAGCCAAAACAGGAATACGGAATGACCCAGCCAGGCACTCCGCTCCACCCAATACAAGAAAAAATTATCCATAATATATCCAAGTAAACAACCACAATCAGGAAACAGGAACAAAACCGGGAAAGGTATCTCACCACTCCTGGAGGTAGGGGTCCCCCGCCAACCCCTCCACTCCAAGAACACGACTGAATTGGCTCAGCCTAGGTCTAACTCTGGTCTTCCCACAACTGGAACAAAGATTCTCTGCTTCTGCAAAGCTGGAAAGTAGCAGAGCACCTCCCCTATGCTGTCTGTTCCCAACATGCAGCTCCATCCTAACATACGAAATGAACCACTGCACATGAGGGAGACCTGCAAAGAAAAATCGGTAGCTTTCTACATGAGAGACCAGGCTGTTCAAATGACTCAACAGCTGCTTTTGCCTAAATTAAGCAGAGTCGAATTTCTATCATTTTTAACCAAAATAATTTAAAGTATTCAGTGGTTTCCTAATGAAAAATAGGTACCCCCCAAAAGAGGACAGCATTCATTACTGCTTAGCCCTTAAGCAACAAGACAATAAAGTATCTGAGACCCTAATTATGCATGAACATAATACCAAAATTAAATCTAAAGAATTAGTTTAATATGTGGCATTTACAGCATGCCCACTGCAAAGTTATGAGCCAACATATGAATATATACAAACATCTATTCTGATAGCTAAATCTTGAAATCCTACTTCAAAAAGCACTATTTACCAAGAGTTAACTTTTTCTGTCAGATGCCCTTAAGAAAACTTACTTTGAATAAGATACTGAAAATAACCAATTTTTTTGCCATTTTCAAAAGTAGACAGTTATTAACCTTCTTCCACTGTGGAAACTGACCATTCATTCTGCCCTATCAAAGTGAGGTGCTAATAGGTGATGGGCTAGCAACCCTACTTCTGATCCCTTGGTTACCAAATTTCCTTAAAAGCTTCTTAGGAAGAACTTCCAACAAAATTTGTCTTAGAAGTCTGACTGAATTAGAACCACTTAAAGTATTTAACCTGTGTCCCCACCAATTCCCCTGGTATTTTCTTCAGTGTTATTACCCATCTAATTCTGTGGAATAAAATCAAGAGCTCTCGCCTCTGTGGACAGGATAGAAACAGCCCATCTGCCACAGGAGCTTCTGGGTGAGAGGAAGGCAGGAGCAGGTTTCAGACCAACACGTCAAGCTGGGTGCCAGACCACAAGGCAGACAACAGCGGGAACAGCCAGGTGCTGCATGGTCTCAGGAGAACAGGGAACAAAACCTGCATTTCTATTTGTGATTCATCTTCTTTATACCAATGGCAAGCTTCTGGCTACCTCCACTAATTCAAAAAAATAATAGAATGAGGTATAGGATAAAAGGTAAGGTTCTTGCTTAACACAGTTGCCTCTATTTTTGGCTCCCTAAAGAAAAACAAATGCCTCGTGGACAAGTGCCTTCAAAGACTTTGTAGAAAAAGGTCACATATCTTCAAAAGTTATGAGATCCATTAACTGTCTCCCCTAAAACTGAAAAACACCTTCTATGATCATTTCAACATGATTCAAGTATTGAAGCCTTTTTTAATCATTCATTTATTTTTTTCATTTGAGGAGAGACAAAAAGACTCCATGCACCAGTGGTTCACTCCCCACATGCTGGAGAGAAATCCAGCTGGGCCAGGCCAGGCCCTCCACGGAGGCCCCCCTAGTGTGTGGGCCCATCACAGCGAGGCAGGAGCCGGCACCACAACTCCCATCCAGGCACTCAAGGATGGAACACAGCACTGAAACTGGCTAGTTGCATATTTTATTTCTTGCCAGTGTTCCAAAGGCACACCTGGCATAAACAAGAATCACCTACAACCTCAAGTACTGACATTATAAAGAGAACTAGCCAGGCTTCATCCAAGGGGACTGTATGCAAAGTGCCACAGGTCCATCTGAGCAGCAGTGACCCTCAGCACAGGAGCTGCCCTACCAGCATATCGGTGGTACTGAGGTAGTGCTTGCTCGCCATGCACTGCTCCAGCTTTTGAGGCACTTGCTTGATGTTTTCAATTTCATCCAACAGGTTCAGGACATGCTTGTGCTCAATGCCTTCGATCCACAGCTTCCGAAGCTCATCCCGTTTGCAATGCAGCAACATCTTGCACGAAAGCAGATTCTCTTTCACCTGGAAGAGAATGGATTGAATCCAGTCAGTCCAGGTGTATTGGCACAGATCCCCAAATGGATCCCACACTGGTACAAGTGCATGCCATTAGTGCTCATTAACACCCTCTACTCCCTTCAGCTGGTCTGCTAGCACCACTAACGCTGGTGTCGACACTGGCTCCTTGGGACACACCTCCACCTTTCCGCCCCATGATAATGTATCTAAGTGAATCACGAAATAATTACTTCAGGAAGCATCACATGAATGTGATGTGAGTCCAGGCTGTTTATTCTTCCTTCTCCAGGCCTTCTTGTACATCTCCTATACAGTCAGGCTACTGTGGCCATGCTCTTGCTCTGGGAGTCCAACCATATATTACAACCAAAAACCTAAGCTAAGGATCCATCTCACCAACTCAGGTAAAATAACCCGTTTCCAAAACAAAAAAAGGTACATTCAGAAACAATCTTGAAATAAACGGGCAATGGAGCCCGGGGCCGAGGCCTAGTGGCTAAATTCCTCGCCTTGCATGTGCCAGGATCCCATACGGGCGCTGTTTCTAATCCCAGCAGCCCCACTTCCCATTCAGCTCCCTGCTTGTGGTCTAAGAAGGCAGTCGAAGACAGCCCAAAGCCTTGGAACCCTGTACCTACGAGGGAGACCCAGCAGAAGCTCCTGACTCCTGGCTCCAGATCAGATCAGCTCTGTCTGGCTGATGCCGTCACTTGGGAAGTGAATCATTAGAAGATCTACCTCTCTGTCTCTTATTTTTTATTGCAAAGTCAGACATACAGAGAGAAATCTTAAAAAAAAAAAAAAAAATACAAACATAAAGGGACAATGCCCAATCCATGCCACAGCATCCACCAAGCACACATGAGGCTGAGTGTGAACGCAATCTAGGCTGGGCTAGGTGACAGGTCTAGAGACCAATTCAGCAGGGGCTCTTACAAGTCAGCCCAATGGTCCACTGCATCTGATCCCCAACCTCAGGGAACACCACACAGATGTCTGGTCTGGCCTAAGAGCACCTGTGGGGGTTGAGGCACCTCACAGCTGCTTTACCTTGTTCAAGGGAAAATATACCAAGATGCATATAAAAGGTAGGACAGCCAGCCTTGCTGAGTCAATGGAGGAGCTTGAGTGCCTCAACAAAAAATCAAAGACAAGCGTACTAAACCACGTTACAGGGCAAATTCTCCACCAAGCATCTAAGGCTACGGACATACTGAAACAGACAGTAACAAGTACAGGAAGTGTTATCTCACAACAAAGCCAGCACTACCTCAAAACAACCAAGGCCACCAAGTAATGCCCTCAGGACAGTCTTCCCTACCAGGGTCCCTGGGATGACATCAGGGGACCATCTCTGTGCCCTGGCACTCATGTGACCCAGCAGCTAGGAGCAGCAAAACACAGGAGGGAGGACAAGGTCTTCCGCCTTACCCACCGTCCCATACTTCCTATCCTACCCGAGACCTGCATGGGTCTGCAGTGCCTTCACCTTGTAACCAACATTTTTAAATCAGTTTAAAAAAGAAACAAGGGACACACCAAGGATGGGTGGGGGGGCGGGTTGTATTCTGAATACTGCAAGACAATCTCCAGCCATTTCCACGGTTTTGTATTACAATGACTCTAAGGAGGAGACAGTTGGAGATGGGTATTCAGAATGTACTTGGCTAAGAAGTTTGTGTTTTCCACCATAATCAAAAATTTCCAATTTTTACAACAGGGAAAAGTAAAAAGAATTGAAGCTTTTCATGAAGAGAAGAGGAAAAGTGTCGTGACGGTGATGTTTAGAAGTGCATGTGTGTTTCTCAGGTGTAACGTGTCATCCTGACTTGTCCACAAGTACTCAACAGCAGTAACACTCTTACTTTAAGGCTAATATTTGCTAAAGCTCTGCTACTGTTTTTTGTTATAGGTAAAAATTTATGCATGACTCCACCTCATGGGGACTATTTGATGAGTTTGGGGGAAAGCATTCACTTGTACAACCCAAATCCCCACCAACAGATGAGATCTTTCCAGGTTTTGCAGAAACTGTCTTGTCCCTGTGCGAGAGTTGGTGTGTGGTGGATACCTCACTGTCAACAGACTTGTAACTGTCAAACCAAGTTTCAACAAGTACAGAAGTTGTGAAGATGCTGCAAAGACTGTAGAGTATCTTAAGAAAACACGCAGTCCATTCCCACAACTTCAGGACTAAACTTAAGCCACATGTTTACAAGACTCCTTTGTGGAGGAAAACATTTTGAGTAAGAGGCCTTTGTAAACCCCCCTTGATAAGCAAAGTAGGGGGCTTATTAATATTTAGGGGTTCCAGTTTTCTCTACTCCTTGGTACCATCCCATCAAAGTAATGCCAGAGAATCTTTTCAGGCATAAAACATCAAGAAAAGAGCTGAGGAAACAGCCAGGTAAGAGACGGTGGCAAAACACGTAAGCTGCTAAGGAGAGGGTGAAGATGAGGGGCACTAGCTCCATTCCTGTGTCAGCATTTGCTAACACAGTAGAGTAGGCAGCAAGTGCAATGAAGGCAAGCGGAAGCCTTCTGTAATGTTATTCCCGAGTTTAGACGACCACCAAGCCAAAGAGGCAATTCTCCCTGCACCCCCAGTCCACACCAGACATTTTCCTGTCAGAGTCCAGACAGGAAATGCCAGTCCCGGCTGATGGGCAGTGGACAGAAAGCAGGTGGACAAAGTCAAAGTGAGTTACTTTTCTTAAAAGATTACTTATCTATTCGAATAGCAGAGTTACAGAGGTGGGGAGGGAGACAGATTTATCCCATTCTCTGGTTCACTCCCCAAACGGCTAAAATGGTCACAGCTAAGCCAGTCCAAAGACACAAGTCTGAAGCCTGGAGCTTCTTCCAGAGTGCAGGGGCCCAAGCATCTGGGCCGTCTTCCACTGTTTTCCCAGGCACACTAGCAGGGAGCTGGGTGGGAAGTGGAGAAACTCAGACTCAAACAGCACCCACATGACATGCAGAGGCTTAACCTCCGAGCTCAGAAAGACAAATATTGCATGATTTCACATGCAGAACCAAAAACAGCTAAACAAACAGGAGCAGACCAGGGGCAAGCTTGGAGAAATACCGAGGAAAGGACACAAAACTTCAGCTGGACAAGGAGAATATGTTCAAAAGATCAACTGTGTAACATGGTAACTACACTTACGTCTCGTGCCTGAAAACTACAAAGCAGCACAGATTTTTAAGTGTCTGCATCAGAAATAACTGCTTAGTATATGAGGCAATGCATCTGTTAATCAGCTCCCTACCAATGGGCCTGACAAAGTTGCGGAAAACGGCCCATGTACTTGGGCTCCTGCCTGGCCCATCCCATTCTCAGCCTTGGCAGGTATTTGAGCAGTGATAAACTGGATGTAGCATCCCTCTGTTTTGCTGTCTCTAGCTTTTGCTCTGACTCTACCTTTCAAATAAACAGTATTTTAATGGGGCAGAAGTAGACAAGAAACATTGCTATCATATCACATCTGATAGCTATCAAATTATATTTCAACATCTACTTATCAAACTCCTATTCTTTTATAAATGTGGTGACATTATTTCCATTCCATTCTTTTTCATGTGTAAGGATAATTAAGAATGGGAAAACCTATTCCTGTTTCTCCCTTAAACAAACCCACATTTGAAAAGTCAAGTTGTTCAAACCACAACATCAAGCAGAGACAAGTTCCCTTGCTTCCTCAGAATCTAAGTGAACTTCACCTTGCTCCTAAATACCTGCTCAGCAATAGCAAAGCTTTGTTTCAATATGCAATAATTGCAAATCACTAATTAGAGGCTATTGAAAAAAAAGAAAGAAAACAAGAAGAATGGATCTGGGCCACAAGGCTGGCACTTGGACCTCTGTGCATGGGAAAGCCAGGGAGCAAAGCCAGGGAGCAGCCTGCCTGCCTCAGCACTTGGGAGAGCACACACAGGATGCAGGCCTGGGCAGGGTGACGGGAGGCTGTCACATTCAAGTCAGCAGGTCAGAAAATACTCTGTGGATATCGGACAAGGCAAAAAGGGGGAAATGCCTCTGCACGTGCCTACGGTCTGCATGAACATACAAAAAATACGCAGACAGATCCTTGAACCTGCCCAAAGAGCAAGGGATGGCACAGTCCGCATCATCCTGTTTGTGGTGCAAATAAATCTTCAGGTCAGTGCTGCCAGGGCAATTCGCAGCTGCGAACATCTGCCCCAGTTCTGGCCAAGGAGTCTTAGAGTGCCCGAGAAGAATTTCAGAAATACTGTTCACTGGTCTATTTCAAAAGCACTCTTGAACCGCACAACACTTTTCAGTTACCTCAAGCTTGCTTCCCCCTACTTGCCATGAGTCTCTCTGGCAGTCATTTCAAAGCCTTCACTTCCCTCAGTGGCTCTCCTCAGCCTTCTCCACCTCTCCAGCTACACGAATGCAGGCACAGTCCCCTCCCAGAGAGATGACCGCCTGGCCGCCTGACCACAGGCACACGCTCCACACTGCTGCCCTGAGGCTTTTTCCCTTTCTCAGCCAAGCAGCCAGACATTTTCCAACTCCTATTTCGGCTGTAAATAACCATGCTGGCCTATTACAACTTTTTTATTATTAATTAAAGCTATTCTTCATTCTAATTCTACCTTTCAAAACATGCGCTCATATTAAAGCCAAAAAATTATTTTAGTTAAATGTTAAGTAATGAATGCTGTTACTCAATGATTAAGCCACAACTTTACTTGAATAATCACGTATAGTTACTTTTAATTACAAGCAAGAAAAATGAGTCTCAGAGCTACATCCAGCAGCAACAGGGCAGCCCACATTAGGGTATTAAGTGCTTGTGCACATGGCCCAGCATCTGTGCCCTCTCTTCCGCTGATCCTGCTCCGGTGATGAGCCCACTCACCTCAAAACCTTAAAGACATCAAGTCAACTCCTCTCCCCTAGTCCAGAGAGAAACACTCAGACACAAAGGCGTTTCCAAGTTTGTGGAAAACAGAATTTAAAGGTAAGCTTGTTTTACTACAAAGAGATTTTGAAAACCATGTATGATTCTCTCATAACAGATTATTATTATTATTATTATTATTATTTATGATACAGTTCAATAGGCCCTGGGATTTGCTGAAGAAATGAAAAAGAAAATCAAGAACCTACTTGAAGAAAATGATGCTACTATATGACCTATGAGTCAGTGAATTTAAAGAATTTAATGACAAAATTTTCAAGAGATGAAACTTAAAAAATCAAAATCCAAGATATATACTTTCTGCTGATTTTTTGGTGAGATATGTCTCCTGTAGGCAACAAATAGATGGGTTTTGTTTTTTTAATCCAGTCTACCAATCTGATGTTTGATGAGTGTAAGCCATTTACATTCAGGGTTGATATGAGTGGATGGTAACTTGGTCCTATCATTTTAGCAATGGGTTGTTGATTTAGTCTTCTGTTATTTTACTGGGATTGGCTTATTTGCCTTTGGTTTTGGTGGGTGTTATTCCTCTTCAATTGAACACAAGGAAGAGATCCTTAAACATGCACATGAAAAAAATCAACTGTCATATAGAAGAATGGCAGACTCACAGGAGACCTCTCACAGGAAACTACAGGCCAGAAGAAAATGGAGCAACATATTCCAGATTGGCCCCCTGCACCCACATGGGACACTCAGAAGAACCTCTCGGCTCCAAGCTTTGGTCCAGCCCAGCCCTGGCCATCGCAATCATTTAGGGGAAGTCAACCAACAGATCAAAGGTCTTTCTCCTTCTCCTACCCTCCCCACCTCTCCTCTCTCTCTACACAACTCTTTCAAATAAATAAATGAATCTTTAAAAAGTCAAGAACCGGGCCTGGCATGGTAGCCAAGCTGCTAAAGTCCTCGCCTTGGATCCCATATGGGCACCAGTTCTAATCCCAGCAGTCCTGCTTCCCATCCAGCTCCCTACTTGTGGTCTGGGAAAGCAGTGGAGGACGGCCTAAAGTTTTGGGACCCTACACTTGCGTGGGAGACCAGAAAGAGGCTCCTGGGTTTGGATCGGCTCAGCTCTGGCCGTTGCAGCTGCTTAGGGAGTGAATCAGCAGATCTTCTCCGTCTTTCCTCCTCTCTGTATATCTGATTTTCCAATAAAAATAAATCTTAAGAAAAAATATGTCAAGAACCACCTCCCAATGTCATGACAGTACAGAATCCATATGTGCATGTCCACCCCTTGGCCAAACATAAAAACATTCCTCACAAACCCATTCCCTCCTTTATACACTCAACATGTATATTAATCCACTTTCTGTTAACAGGATAAAATACATGAGTTAGGTAATTTTTTTAAAAGATTTATTTTCTTAAAAATCAGAGTCACAGAGTTGGCAGGGAGAAACAGGGGAGATACTCCATTTGCACCTTGAACTTGAAATGGTCCCAATGGCCAGAGCTGATCTGGTCCAAAGCCAGAACTTATTCCGGGTCTCTCATGTGGGTGCAGGACCTAAGGTCTTGAGCCATACTCCGCTGTTTTCTCAGGGCATTAGCAAGGAGCTAAATCTGAAGCAGAGCAGCTGGGCTTGAATCAGTGGGGGATTCTAGTGGGATGCTAGTGCAGCAGGCAGAGCATTAGCCTATCACTCCTGCACCAGCCACCATGAAGCAAGCCATTTAATAAAGGGGTTTGGTTAATAAAGGGGATTTGTCACAGCAGGATCTAGTGCCAGCAAGGGCCTTCCTAAGCTGCATCAAACCACAGCACAAGAACATGTATACCCTTGGTCACTCTCCATCACCTTATTAAAACCACATGTCTGAGATCATGCAGGTCCCACCCTAATCATTTCTGCAAGCCCCTTTCTCCAAAACACCTTGGTTGGGTAGACTTCTTCCTAACTGATGCCTATGAATGCACAACTTGGAATATCTGGGAGATTAAATTTCTACATGAGTTCAGGGGAGCAAAGCATGACATGGTACCCAGGACCCAACAGCTCCTCAAGGACCTACAACAAAAGGAAGGGAAGTAGAAGTAGTTAACAAGGTGGATGTGAGAGGGGAGGAAAAGTAAGGCAGCAAGAAGAGAGAAAAGAGAAGAAATTCCTGCAAATTTGAAAAGCAAATTACAAAGCAAAAATGCAAGCATGCTCATCACGGCTGCAGCACAATATTCAAGAATTTTAGTTTTCATAAACATTTCATTACATGTTTAAATAGCTTATAGGTTAGATTTTCTTCACTTCAAAAACCTGTATCAAGAATACATAATGATTACAGAGAAACCAAACCAAATTCAAACTACATGACATACTCAAAGCCAACATTTCAGCAAACAAGATCTTTCCACTGCTACCGTAATACACACACAGGCAAGGTTTAACTAGACACAGTGCATCTGTTAGACCAGGTGGGCGTCTCAGCACAAGAGCCTCTGCCTCCATCTGCATTGCTTTCAGTCTTCGTCAAGCTGAGCCCGTATCTGTTTCAGCAGATCAAGTCAAGGATACAGACACAGAGGAGGAAAGAAGCAAGCACTGAGCAATCTCGGGAACATTCCCCGACAAAGGCTCTAGACATCTACTTGCAAAATTCCCCCAAAAGTGCCACCATGAAGAACTTCTGAATTAACGAACATTAGCCAATATCACACCACCTCTCCAAGCCAACACCTACAAACAAAAGGTACAGCAACACTAACCAGAAAACAGGGGTCTCACCTGCTTGATTTTATTTCGGGAGTTGGTGATACGCTCTGTGATGCTCTGGTACGTGCGAATGGCCGTGGTCAATTCTGTGTAGTGCTGTACAATCAGTTCATCCAGGTCACGGTCACATTTCTCATAGGCTTCTTCAAGACGACCCTTTTCGTTTTCTCTGTCTTCAACGTCATCACTGGTTGATAGGGTTCTGGTGAAGACAAAGACAAACTGAGTCAAACTCAGAAGTGAAAGATGGGCGATATGCCAACACATCACTTAACCAAACAGAAAACGAAATGTTGCTAACACACCATACAAAATCACCCCCAGTGTTAATTCCAACAGTCCATTAAGCTGGATGTGATAGTTGCTGGTTCAAGCAGCCATTCCCTTCTCTTGCTTCCTTCACATTCAAACTGATTTAAAATCACAGAGTAGATGGTCATAACTTCACCACAGCATGGGGAAACCATTTGAGCAACCTACAATAATTTCTAGTAACTCCATTCCACTTACCATGAAAAAGTCTGGTAAATAGGACCTATGGAACTTCTAGGAATAGATTTCTTCCAAGAAAGTAACAGGTCAAAGTCCCTTCTTCCACCCCCTGGGTACTGGGTATTGTCATACAACACTCACACCAGCCAGAAAGGAAACACCATCATGAATGTCACCAGCCTCCAGGGCAGTCAGCCTGCAGTCGCCTGATCTCACCACTCCACATTAGAGTAGCAAACATATCCCTTTCGACTGGGGTTCTTCAACATGCAGCTAACCCTGTACAGCTGATAAAACTGCTCTAGCACTGCCAAGATCTCATCTGAACGACCTGAATTTGCTACAGGTCCCCGGCAGCCTGGAAGTAAGGTCCTACTAACTCTAAGACCTGTGCCAACAGCAATAGCCCAGGCCACCTGCGACAAGAGTGCTTGCACTTGCTGTTCTTGCAACAGCACTAACAAGGCCGATGTGAATCAACAGTAACCTCACAACAAAACGCTTATTAAAATATTTCAATAACTTGGCTTGATGCATGAGCCATAGGTATTTGTTCCCTTTATTATCTTTCTGGGATAATTTTTTTAATTTAGTATTATCATCAGCAACAAAGAAACCTTTCCTTCTTATCTGTTCACTGAGGTAATCTAGAGTTCCATTAAATTTCCCCCGATTTTTCAGCACACACTTTCAGCCTAGTTTATTTCATTTATCTTTTTTAATTTAGGGAGGGGAATATTTTAGGCTCCCTTTGATGGATGTAATCAATTATAAGTCCATCATTAGAGCTGCTTTCAGAGCCAGGCTCTCAGCAGATCAGTCACAGATCCACTTGCAGACACCTGCAGGCAAAACACCACACAAGTCCTCCTCAAGGGGCCAGAATCCATGAGCCCCATCATAGGTAAGACCACTTTTCCAGCCGAGACACATTCAGGAGGGTAGTCTTGGACTTCAATGGAACCTGCAAACCCAGTTCAGTAAATGTCTTAGGGAAGCCCCAAGACCAAATACAGCACAAAATGGGAGGGATGGATGTGTAGGCAGAAACGAAGACAAAGGCAAAAGTTAGAGACAGCATAGGATACCAACCAAAGCACAAAGCTTTTCTCATGACTCATCTGCCAACCAGCAATCCCACGCCAGTCTGTATGCAAGGTTAAAGGTGGAGAACCCCCAAGAGCTTCCTGTCAAACTCCAGAGCACTGAGGGACTTGGTTTCACAGGCAGTGCTCGCCAGGGTTGCTTATGGTATTTTAGGACTGAGTAGTTTCACGTGTCTTCCCTGTTGTGTCCATGATGCATAACTCTGTTCTTTAGATCTGGAACCTTTGAGCTATGAATCTAAAGTGTGATTAGAAAGTACCTCCAATTTATCAACCTTGCCAAAGGTGAGAGCTCCTAGATGTTAACTCCATCATTTCCTCCTTGATAACAGAAAGCACACGAGGTTGAGAGCTGCAGGCAGCCGTGTGCCATCTCTGCGACTCGTCATAATTTGCCCTCCACTAGCACTTGTGGACAGAAGCATGTCAAACATCTCACATTGTTTACTAGCGAGAACGACGACCAAGGACATTGTCCAGCCCAGGGCGGAGTCCCTGGCATCAGATGTCACTGCGACACATGGCTGGATGCCTAGGAATGACCTAGCAAGCAGGAAGGGCTACTTACAAGGACTGGGAAGTCAATTCAGTCCACAGGAGATTTTTGTCCCTACTTTCATTTTTAGAGAAAAATATTTATATAAGAAGCAGTGTACCGAGTTTCCCCGCATCTGAAACTCAACTTCCTCATGTAAAACAGAGATAAATGACATTTTGCCTTTAATCAAAAAGACTTGTATTATAGAACTTTTGAAGTATAAACATTTTTTAATTAGAAAAGAGGCAGCAAGAATAAGAAAAATGACAATAGCTTCTACCATGTATAAGTTTGCAAGTGCTCAAAAACCAGCTATGTTGTACATTTCATAAAATGTACATTTAAAGATTTATTGATTTTTATGGGAAGGCAGATTTGGAGACAGAAGGAGACAAAGATCTTCCATCCACTCCCCAAGTGGCCACAATGGCCGAAATGGAGCTGATCTGAAGCCAGGAGCTTCTTCCACGTCTTCCACGTGGGTATAGGGTCCCAAGGTTTTAGGCCATCCTCTACTGCTCTCCCAGGCCACAACAGGGAAGTGGAGCAGCTGGCACATAAACCAGCAAACATGTGGGATCCTGGTACACGCAAGAAAAGGACTTAGCCACTAGGCCATCGCACCAAGACCCCCCTCCCTGCCTTACAATGTAATTTAATCATCCTAACAGTCCCTGGGAGTGGGCCCTACATTTAATGCACTCCCCTCCACCTTTTTTCATAGATCAAACAGTTTAGACTGAAAGAAGTTCAATGTATCTGCCCCACCTCACACAGTGAGGGTAAGGCAGAGGACTGGGATAGTTTTTGGTTCTAAGATTGGCTGGAGCCTGGCACGGTAGCCTAGTGGCTAACGTCCTTGCCTTTCATGTGCTGGGATCCTATATGGGTGCAGGTTCTTATCTCGGCTGCTCTGCATCCCTTCTAGCTCCCTACTTGTGGCCTGCGTAGACCAAAACCTTACCACCCTGCATCCATGTGGGAGACCCAGAAGTAGCTCTTAGCTCCTGGCTTTGGATCTGCTCAGCTCTGGCTATTGCAGCCACTTGGGGAGTGAACTAGTGGATCAAAGATCTTTCTCTGTTTTTCCACCTCTCTGTAAATATGACTTTACAATAAAAATAAGTATATCTCTTTTTTAAAATTAGGCTTACAAAAAATTATTTTTCTTTTTTATTATTGTTGCTTGCTTCATCTGCCTGTAAGAGCTAAAAGAGAAGGGAGAGGGAGAGAGGGAGAGAGACCCATCAGCTGGTTCACCCTTCACATGCCAACACCTCAGGCCCCTCGCCACCCACAAGGGTGGAGCTGCTGGCGCCTGCTTCACCCCCACTGTCACAGTCTTTCCGGGCAGTGTCCTACCACATGAAAGCCCTGTCTCTCCCTCTCTGTTACTCTGCCTTTTCAATATAAACAAATCTCTTTCAAAACAAACAAGAAAATAGTCCTGGTTCCACCATATTCACCACCCACACAACTGATCCAGCACCTAATGCTGTCCTCTAAATGAGCTCCAACAAGGCCTGGTATCCCACCAGCACTCACATGCTGGTTGTTGCTGCTGGCTCTTGTTGTCATAGTAACTGAAGCAGTAGTGGCAGGCAGCTGCATTTTTCCCTCTGGAGAAAAAGATCAAGTCCCACTGCCCACAGATCATCTGACTCTGGGCATGGGATGTGTGTCTGATTGCTACTTCACTCTTCCTTCAGGCAGGAATTGTCAAGAGACTGAGACTTATTCTACCAGTAACCTAAGAGAAATTAGACTGCCAGTTTCATGGGTGCTGAGAGCCAACAACTCTGCTCAAAAATGAAATACTTTGGGACTGGTAGCTCTGCCAGCACCAGGAATACCCACACATCTGTATCAGTTCCCCTTGCCGCCGGCTTTTGCACGCACCAAGCTGGACCGGGCCCAGTGGATGCATGTGGACAAGAGGAGTTAGCCAACAGGAAGCCTGAGCTTGGAAAACGGAACTTCTATGATTTCAAACTTGCCTGTCCTTTGGCTCTGGAGGGAAAAACCATTTACAAGGCTGCTTGCTAAACAGGCAGCCTTACAGGATAGCCAAAAACAAAGGGTGTTCACAAAAAACCCAGAAATAAAACACCCAAGCAAACAGTCTCCCAACAACCTAAGCCTGTTTGTGCTCCAGTTGCTCCACTTTCAGTCCAGCTCCCTGCTCTCAGCTTAGGGAAACAATGGAAGAGTAGCCCAAGTCCCTGAGCCCCTGCCCTCACATGTGGACAACCCAGAGGAGGCACTTGGCACAGGATCAGCTCAGCCCTGGTCACTCGTGGCCATTTTGGGAGAGAACTAGTGGATAGAGGATCTCTGACACACCTTCTTTCTGTAATTCTGCCTTTCAAATAAAAAAAATAGGGCCCGGCATGATAGCCTAGTGGCTAAAGTCCTCGCCTTGCACGCATCAGGATCCCATATGGGCGCCGGTTCCAATCCCAGCAGCTCCACTTCCCATCCAGCTCCCTGCTTGAGGCCTGGGAAAGCAGTGGAGGACGGCCCAAAGCTTTGGGACCCTGCACCAGCATGGGAGACCTGGAAGAGGCTCCTGGCTTCAGACTGACTCAGCCCCAGCTGTTGCGGTCGCTTGGGGAATGAACCACGCAGATCTTCCTCTCTGCATATATCTGCCTTTCCAATAAAAACAAACAAATCTTTAAAAAATAAATACATAAAATAAATCTTTTTTAAAAATATGTAGCTCAAAAAGAAACAGATTCCTCTGACAGAAGTGCTGACAAGCCAGGTCTCACTCACTCTTGGCTTCTTTCCCCAGATGCAGTGCAGGTATTTCCATGGCTCCTGGTGCCAGAACACTCCATGTTGGAAAAGGCAGGAGGTGAAGTGCAAGAAGAGCTGAGACTGCTGCTTGCCCGTGACAAACCAGACAGCACAGTGGCCCTTCTCACACATACTCTATGGCAATTCCCAAAACAGTGTGTGAGCTACAACGAATCCTCACTCCTTTCACACATCAAGAAGCAGAGAGGCTCCAGCAGGTAACACGTAACCATGCCCAGAGCTAGAATTAAAGCAAGGTGCCCT